GTGGATTGGCGCCAATTATACACGTGAAAATGCAGCTCCCCTAGTGCCTATAGTCACTTACAAGACACTAAATACAGTATTACAAATAGTACAGGGTATAGGGTGTGCAATAGTGAACACAAACACAGCGAGAAAACCTGATGGTACACCTCTGGTTAATCAAACTTCTTACCCATAGAAACAGCAGTATTGCTAAACAATGGCTAGCTGCCTTCACCTCTAGCAACTGGATAGGTCCTGTAACTAGAGAAATTACCAGTATCAGCAGACTTCTTATATGTGGACTCCTAATAAAACCTGTTTCTTAGGTTCCTGCCCGTGTTGCTGTGTCAGAACAGCCGCATAGTTTATCACACGCGGGGACAGACTGCTGTTTCTATTAACCAGAGGTGCACCATCAGGTTTTCCCTGTAATAAGTTTCTCTCACTGTGGGTTGGTGTTCACTATTGCGCACCCTATATTTACCAGTATGCTACACTCTAATTCAAATACGATGTACGAGATGCATATTTTAAGATAACAAGCTAGGTATCATGCATTTTAGGACTAGGCAGACAGAATGTAATTAGAAATTATCACATCCAATAAATAAGTGCAGGAGAATTAGGTGTCATAAAGGGGGTAAGGGGAGTGCGTAGAGTGGAGAAAATTGCGCCATTATTTTGAAAAGAAAAATAACATTAAAGATCAAGAGATCCAAATATAAGTCTACCTAGGTCACCTCAAAATCACAAAATACTACTCTTCTGAATCAAATACTACTCTTCTGAATCTTGAACCATGAATATTAAACATATTCAGAGATAGAAAAATAATGAAATGGGAGAGAATAGTACTAATATGAAGAATGGATGGCTGGGCTGCAATATTACATCCAACAAACCGGTATGTGTGTTGGGTTATTAGTCACCAGTGGTATTCAGGTAACTGGGGTTTGTGATCCCCCTACTCTCGGGTTGAAAGGAATGATGCTAGTAGTGTCCCAGGTCTCCACGTGTCCCTGCATTAAGTCTTCTTATCACTGGCTGAAACCTGGGGCTCTACCCTCCCAGACACTGCTGCCTTCCTATCTAATGGCGCATTGCATTTATCTCACTCCAATACGCCATACGATGCTCAGTGTGGCGGTGTTGTGTTTTTGCTCTCCCCTTACAGTTTCTCCCAATTTTCGCCCCCTTGTTCTTCTCCTTCCTTATCTTTTGAAGTTGACTCTACCAGTCTCTTTAGTTTTCTCTCAGCCCATGATTCCATTATCTACTGCCCTCATGGCTTGCCTCTACTCTTCCTTGACCACTTTTCTGCTTGGCTTCCTTACTTTCCTCTGACATTGCTTACCTTATCCTTGGTGATTTGAACATCCCTATTAACCAACGTGACTTCCAAATATCCGCATTGCCCGTCTGTAATGATAGCTGCAGATAGGCTCATCTTCCTGACTGACTACTACTCCCACACCTCACCCATTTGCCGATCATTGCATTGGCTTCCTGTACCTTTCAGGAACTACTTCAAACTGCTAACATTAACTTACAAACTCTCAATAGGTCCACTCTTTGTTACATTTCATCTTTACCTAACAAATATACCCCTTTGAGTTCCCTTTGCTCTGCAAATGACCTTCTCGTGACATCTGCTTTTTTCTGAACTGCCATCTCACCTGCAGGGGTGCAACTAGGAATAAGGCACTCACTGAGTCATTGGTACACACACTGTTTAGCCAAGACACACTTTCACAAATACACACCCTCACAGATTAATTTTGTGTTTTGTTTTTTTAAACTTGTTTAAAGGGAAACTCCAGTGCCAGGAAAACAATCTCCACCAGCCGGGGAGACCTAATGCGCATGCGCGGCAATGCCGCGCATGCGCACCACATAGGAAAGCATTGAAAATGCATTGAAAATGCTTTGCTATGGGGAAATGAGCGACGCTGGAGGTCCTCACACAGCGTGAGGACATCCAGCGACGCTCTAGCACAGGTTTCCTGTGCTAGGAACCAGGAAGTGCCCTCTAGTGGCTGTCTAGTAGAAAGCCACTAGAGGTGGAGTTAACCCTGCAAGGTAATTATTGCAGTTTATAAAAAAAACTGCAATAATTACAGTTTAAGGGTTGAGTAGTGGGAGTTGGCACCCAGACCACTCCAATGGGCAGAAGTGGTTTGGGTGCCTGGAGTGTCCCTTTAAGGCCCATCCAGCCTCCCTGTGTTTGGGAAAGCTGGACTGTGTCTTCTCCCTGAGGTCCAGGGGGGGGGAACTTCTGCCTGAGGTAAAGTGGCTGCTTCGATCTTCATTGCTCGCTTGCATGCTGTTTAGCGATGCCGGGGCCTGCCAGAGCAGGAAAAGTATCCTGCAAATCTCTGCCAGATCCTCATTACGCACCAAGAAATTTAATATGCTGCCACCAACAACATTTTGTGTTCAAGATATACTTCAAACTGCAGGACGACATCTCATATGACCAGTAGCCATTGCAACTTTTCCCCGACCTGTACACGGTGACACTGAAGCTGCTGACTTGTGCATGGGCCTCCCAAAAGATCTGGTACTACTGGATATTAGCCACAAGACTGCTGGTTTTCAAATTGGATGAGAAGCCATAGGGACTTTGTGGAAATCTTAGAAGTGCTGCAGTTGCCACCACTTAATATAAAATTACAGTTATCTATATACTACGCCACAGAGAGTATACCCATTGGGACTGCTCTAACTTAATGGGGCGGCCACCTGGAATCCACCAGACAAGTGAGGAACCAACACTGAGGCAACATAAAGGACAAGCGCCTTGTCTGACCTAGACACTAACTCATTTCCCCTCAGGGACTGGTCTGCTTTGGTCATAGTGGCTGTGCCTCCAACTGCCTGCTGGAGAAATACAGTGCATGCATTCTACTAAGTACCTTTTGTCCAAAGATTATGAAGATTTGAGTATGAGAAGAAAATAAAAACCTGTGGATGTCAAATCCCCTCAAATTAATAAAAACTTTGTTAGTGCCTAGAGCAGAACCTGGCAACCTACAGCCCACACCAGTCACAACCCCTGCAATACACTAGCTCTTTCCTCATGCCTTCAAATACAAGGCATGTAGTCTGCTGGCTGCCGCATAATATATCCAAGCAGCACAAAGTGCTACACACTACTATGGATGACTTTATACTAGCAATTCATGATGTCACTACAGAGTGGGCTGCAAAGGAGCTGTATGTAGAACTAAGGCACGCTGCACCAATGGATGAGGCCTTTCCAGCAAGTGATGGGCCTGCCCCTTTCTTCCTGCGAGTGTGCACTACAGATGAACTGCCAATGTATAGCACAGTATTTCATTAGACCTTCATCGATGTCTATGTAAGTGGATGTTTGTCTGAATGATTGTGTATGTCTAAAAGTCACTGTGAGTGTTTGTAGGACTGTGCCTGTACCCGCTCTATGGCGGGTTCCTTGTATTTATACTACCAGCAATGATGGGTGTGGCACTGTAATCCCGCCCTCACTGTGAACGCTCAACGGCAGGTTCATTGTAGTTATATTTCCAGCCATGATGGACGGGGCAATGTAACCACGCCTCCACTGTGAACGATCACAGGCGGTTTCCTTGTAGTTATTTTGCCATTGCTGACATCTAAACCCCTCCATAGAGAATTATTATTATTGTTTCCCCCACCCTCAATGGTTGCAGACATACCCCTACTGTCTATAACCATGAGAGAATTCACTTTCACAGTGAATAAAATCTGAATGGAAAAACTGAAGCAGAAAGCCATGATGTGGAAAAATTCTCTGACTTGCCTTCCACTGGGATTTAAAAGATTACTTTAAGCATCATGACTAATAGAAACTGCAATGTCTACATTAGAGGGCTAAGACTGCCTCTAGTGGCGGTCTACCATACAGCCACTAGAGGCACTTCCTGGAGTGAGACGACACTGGATATCCTCACACTTTGCTTCATGGGCCAGTGTGTGCACCACTGACATTTAGTGTCTACACCCCCTGCATGGCAAAACAGAAATTCGAGTTCATCAGAATTAACAATTTCAGACAATCCAAGGTTTTCCTATGGAAAAACATTGTGATTGGCTGAGATCAGCACTCCTGATTATGTCAGCCATCAGTGACAGATAAATCATAATCACCTGGAATAAAAGTAAGATTTAACTACACCGAGGGACTTGGGACACTTTAATGAGCTCATGTGGTCTAGATGCCCACAGTATCCCTTTAAGTTGTCATGGTGCTTGCAGTAATGCTTTAAGAAAACTGGTACTCAACGGTTTGATGGAAAACATGGCTCTCCTATTCCATGTCTCCTGCCACTTCTTTATGGGGAAAAGGAAAGCCATGCACACTTGTCTATGGCATTTCAGCTGCCATAAATTACAATGACAAATGAAAGTAATGTCAGGAAGTATTACTTTACTGAGAGGGTAGTGGATGCACGGAATAGCCTTCCAGCTGAGGTGGTAGAGGTTAACACAGTAAAGGAGTTTAATCATGCATGGGATATGCATAATCCTAACTATAAAATAAGGCCAGGGACTAATGAAAGAATTTAGAAAATTGGGCAGAGTAGATGGGCCGAATGGTTCTTATCTGCCGTCACATTCTATGTCAAGTGCTAGCTAAATAAGGCACCCCAAACGTTTGTGAATTACACCCACTCTGTCTATCATATGGTAAGGTGCAGGATAGGCTTAGTTTACCAATGGCTGGTGTGTAGTGAAAAATGTGTGTCCTGTTTGGAGAGGTGGTGTTTTATAAATAGTAGGTTACAGCCTACTCCTAGTTATGCCTCAACATTCGTACAACACACTCATATCCCCATCACACATCAGCCTGTGGCCAATGACAGTCTATGGGCAGAGACAAAGCCTTTAAAACTCATGGTGCAGGCACAGCCACAGGCCCCCGACGGTGCAGGCACAGCCGCGGCCCTCAGCACTGAGCTCCCCGTGTTCAGTACGGCCAACCTGACTACGGTCCCAGTGCCCCCGGCCCGGTCGGTGTGTGTCGGAGCCCGCCGCGGTCTGTACTGGTCACAGCTCAGACAGACAGACCGGGATCGGGCGGCTCCTGTTACTCTCCATGCGCCGCTCCCCGGCTCTCCCACGGCCCCGCCGCCCCCATCAGGCTTACAGAGGCGAACTCTTCGCGGCAGCATTGCCGAAGCGGGCTGACCACGGCCTGGAAGGGGTCGGGGCGGCGGCGGGGAATTGCGCGGACAGCCCGGAGCGTGGCGCTGGGCCCGAGCACGGTCATGGGGGAGGGAGAGCCCCCCGGCTGACGTATTTTTGGTCCGAATGCCTCTCTCGGTGCTCTTCCCGCCCGCTGAAAGTCAGCCAATAAAACAACGAGCGCTCCATGAAGAGCCTGAATAACGTAAAATTAGGGTTAGCGTGTCGTGGGATACTCCCTCCCCCACTGTGAGCGCTCTACGGCGGGCTCCTTGTATTTATACTGCCAGCAGTTATGGGCGTGGCAAAGTAACCCCGCCCCCACTGTGAGCGCTCTACGGCGGGTTCCTTGTATTTATACTGCCAGCAGTTATGGGCGTGGCAAAGTAACCCCGCCCCCACTATGAACGCTCTACGGCGGGTTCCTTGTATTTATACTGCCAGCAGTTATGGGCGTGGCAATGTAACCCCGCCCCCACTATGGACGCTCTACGGCGGTTTCCTTGTAGTTATTTTGCCATTGCTGACATCTAAACCCCTCCATAGAGAATTATTATTATTGTTTCCCCCACCCTCACTGGTTGCAGACATGCCCCTGTTCTATTAAATTTCCCTACCCAGTTAAAAAACCGTACCGCGTCACTTCCGGTGATGAAGCCGAACCGGAAGTGACGTTGGGACGGTGGTGTGCGCCCCCGCGCAGGCGCACGCAACCGAGGTAGGGATTTTTCACTTTGAGGAGAGCCTAAAGGCATAGTGTGCACGCGCGGCACAGTACTCCCGTCGGAGGTACAGCGCGCGTGCGCACTTGTTGACATGGAGCGCTTCACACACCGCGCATGCGCAGTATTGGGGTAGGGAAATCTGATTGCCATTAAAACGGCACTGTCATGCCGAAACCCGTTTTATTTTTTTAACCCCCCTCCCGCCTCCACTACATCCAATTGACCCACTAGTCACCCCAAATGCCCCTAAGCCCCCCACATTACCTATTTTTTAATCCTTATTTTCTGCCCCGATCTTGATTCAGGGCACCGCCATCTTTGTGTGGGTAGATGAAGTACCTGTGGGACACGTCATCAGCCCACACTAGGCAGACACTGAGATTCCCGCACATGCCCAGTGAAACACCTGGACATGCGAACGGGAATTTCAGCTATTCATTCATTCATCAGACAGACGAATGAGTGAATAGAAAGATCAGCCGAACAAACAAACACAATGTATCAGTGTTAGTTTGTTCGTTCAGTTTATTACAAGGAGGGAGCTACCGGCACGCAGCTCCCTCCTTGTAATATGTAACTATAGAAGCGGCAGGGAGCAGTGCTCCCCACCACTTCATAAGCCCCCCAGTACCCCCTCTCACTCTATGGGGGTCAATATGACCCCCATAATAGCACAAGAGAGATTTAAATCTCCCAAATGCCCCTACTCACTATACCGCGAGTAGGGGCATGTCTACTAAACAGTGAGCAGCCTGGCTGCTCACTGTTGAAAAAAAAGACATAAATTACAATAAGGGGGGGCGGACCTATTGTCCTCCCCCCCTCCCCCACCCTGAGCGGCGGGTGGGGGCCATAAAGATAATGGGGGGGGACCTACTGTCCTCCCCCACCCCTGAGCGGTGGGTGGGGGCCCTAATAAAACAATAAGGGGGGGGGACCTACTGTCCTCCCCCCCTGGCCTCCACCCCTGAGCAGTGGGTGGGGGCCCTTATAAAACAATAAGGGGGGGGGACCTACTTCCTCCACCCCTGGCCCCCACCCCTGCGCGGTGGGTAGGGGCCCTAATAAAACCATAAGGGGGGGGAACTATTGTCCTCCCC